GCCCCACCGTAGGCCCCAGTGGGGGTGTCCGCATGCGGTTCCCCCACCGAGGGCGGCGTTTTGAGGCCCCATAGAGAACTTCGGGAGCAGACAACCACCGCGAAACATTCGGAATAGTTCTGCCCTTCCAGCCGCGGCCGCAGCCGCAGCCGCAGCTGCGGCCGCGGTCGGGAGGAGAAAAGCACCGCGAACAATTCGCGATTATCTCCGCCTGCCGGCGGCGGCCCCAACCGCAGCCGCAGACGCAGCTGCGGCCGAGAAAACCACCGCGAAGAAGGTGCGATAGTACTTCGTAGAGCTTTTTGGCATCGATAAGCTAGAAGAATTCCGGCGCGGGGTGCAGCTAGTTGACCCACCCGGCCCGGGCGGACAATGTGGGAACTTTGGTTCGGTTGGGCGAAGATTGTGCAATATTTGAAAATTCGTGAGAACTGGCATTTTTCGCACCTGTAGTGGGTTATGTCGCGTCTGCCAGTGAATTTCTTAGGTCGGTAGCTGCAGTATTACTATCAAAACACTCGGCGGAACCGACTTTGCATAACAACCGAGCAACGTAGTTTTTTTGAGTTTTTCAGCTCGCACTCGAGAAAAATCTTCTGGATGTGCTCCGAGCAGCGCTGCGCAAAACAAGAGCACAACGAGGCTCCCGGCGGTGACCTGGTTGACGGTTTACCGGCCGCTTCCAGTCTTCCCTTCGCCGCCCGCGGCCAGAGCTGCAGCTGCGATCGCAGCCGCGGCCAGGGAATGAAAACTACCGCGATCAAATTGGGATAGTTATCTCCTCCCAGCCACGGCCGCAGCCGCAGCCCCGACCGCAGCCGCGGCCGCGGCCGGGAGAAGAAAATCAGTGCGACAAAATTCTCGATAGTTTCCCCCATCCAGCGGCGGCCGCAGCCTACGCCCCGACCGCGGCCGCGGCCGCGGCTGCAAGAGGGGAACTACCGCGGAAAAATCACGACAGTTTCCTACCTCTGAGCCGCGGCAGCAGCCGCTGCCGCAGCCGCGGCCGCGGCTGTAAGAGGAGCCACCGGGAAACATTCAACTCCGTCATGCAGTGCACTTTCTTCGTTGATTTTCCCTTCTCCCCCGTCCCCAATGCCGCTGATTGCTCTCAGCGGTCGCCGGCGCTTCTGACCGACTGATTACTTGATTCCGGTTCTAGTGACAGGCCAGGAGGAAGGCTCTGGCGGCTGCGAACCCGCGACAAACTTGGAATTGCCAGAAAATAATCATCGGCCCAAGCACTAAAGTCGGCGCGGAATCCTAGACTACTTCTAGCAACCGCTTGCCCCAGGAACGACTTACTTCCCGCTCTAGCCCTGGCGTCCTCAGGGGCTCCCGCGCCACGTGGTCTTTCTTGGCATTCAGCCCTATGGCCATGCGACTATGTCCCAGGGGCGACGTGAGGCCCCAGCAGTAGAGGCAACTGCCTGTACCACCAACAGTTTGGACGACTGGCTGCGCCGCCGGTTCTTGGGTCCGGTCTCCGGCCAGTTCTTGGGATGTCCGCCCGCCAGTACTTGGGATGGTCGCCCTTTCGGAATTTGGGTCCGGTGGCCGCCAGTTCTTGGGATGTCGCCCGCCAGTTATCGGGTTGGTCGCCCATGGATTGGGATTTCTCCCTTCGCGTGTGCGCCGCGCAGTTTAAGGACATGCTCAGGTCGGTAATAAGAATATGTTTTTACACATGCGCAGGCACACACGGCCGCGGCCACGGCCACGGCCACGGCCATGGCCACGGCCACGGCCACGGCCACGGCCACGGCCACGGCCACGGCCACGGCCACGGCACGGCCACGGCCGCGGCCACGGCCACGGCCACGGCCACGGCCACGCGGCCACGGCCACGACCACTGCCACGGCCACGGCCACGGCCACGGCCGCGGCCACGGCCGCGGCCACGGCGACGGCCACGGCCACGGCCACGGCGACGGCCACGGCCGCGGCCACGGCCACGGCCGCGGCCACAGCCACGGCCACGGCCACGGCCACGGCCAGGGCCACAGCCACGGCCACGGCCACGGCCACGGCCACGGCCACGGCCACGGCCACGGCCACGGCCACGGCCACGGCCACGGCCATGGCCACGGCCACGACCACGACCACGACCACCACGGCTACGCCCACGACCATGGCCACCACGGCCACGGCCACCACGGCCCACCACGCCCACGGCCACCATGGCGCCACCACGGCCACGGCCGCCAGAGCCACGGCCACCACGGCCACGGCCACCACGGCCACGGCTACCACGGCCACGGCACACCACGGCCACGGCCACCACAGCCACGGCTACGGGGCCACCGCGGCCACCACGGCCACGGCCACCACGGCCGCGGCCACCGCGGCCACCACGGCCACGACCAGCACGGCCGCGACCACCGCGGCCGAGGCCACGACGGCACGGTCACCGCGACCACGGCCTCACAGCCAGGGCCACGGCCACGACCACCACGGCCGCGGCCACCACGGCCACGGTCACCATGGCCACGGCCGGCCACGACCACAACGGTCACGGCCACCGCGGCCAGGCACGGCCACGGCAAGGCCACTACGGCCAGGCACACGCGCACTACGGCCACGGCCACGGCCACCACGGCCACGGCTACGGCCAGGTGAGGGCCACCACGGCCAGCGCGGCCACGGCCACCATGGCTACGACCACGACGGCCACGGCCACTACGGTCACGGCCACCACGGTCGCAGCCACCACGGCAACACGGCCGCGGCCACCACGGCCACGACCACCGCGGTCACGGCGACTACGGCCACAGTCACCGTGCTGGTTGTCCTGGTGGCCGTGGCCGGTGGCCGTACCCCTGGTGGCCTTAGCCGTTGCCGTGCTAGCCGTGGCCGTGGTGGCCTTTGCTGTGGTGGTCGCCGTGGCTGTGCTGGATGGCCGCGGTGGCCGTGCCCGTGCGACGTGGTGCCGTGGCCGTGGCCGTGGTGACCCTGGGTTGCCGTGGCCGAAGTGGCCGTGACCGTGGCCGTGATGGTCGTGGCCGTGCTGGCTGTTGCCCTGGGGCCGTGGCCGTGGTGGCCGTGGCCGTCGTGGCGGTCGCCGTCAGTTCGATGGCCGTGATGGCCGTGCCCATGGTGGCCGTGGCCGTGTTGCCGTGGTGGCCTGGGCCGTGGCCGTGGTGGCCGTGACGGTGGTGGTCGTGGGTGGGGCTGGCCGTGGCCGGGTTGGCCGTGGCCGTGGTGGCCGCGGCCTTTCTGGTGACCGTGGTGGATGTTGCCCTGGTGGCCGTGGCCGTGGAGGCCGTGGTCGTGCTGACCGTGGCCGTCGTGGCTGTTCGCTCTGGCACCGACGTGGCCGTGGTGGCCGTGGCCGTGGTGGCCTTGGCCGTGGCCGTGGCGGCCGTGACCGTGGTGGTCCTGGCCGTGGGCCGTGGCCGTGGCCGTGGTGGCCGTGTCCGTGGTGGCCTTGACCGTGGTGGCCGTGGCCGTGGTGCATCGCCGCCTTTCTTATGGTGCGAGTGATTCCGCGTCCCTGGTGCACTGCACCTGCGGCGCGCTCACACCGTTTCCGCACTCGCCCTCGAGATTTACCAATTTGTTTGCAATGGCCGCCGTCGCGGCTCCATTCAGCATGTATCAAAGTTCAACTGTGCACGGAAGAGAACGGGTTCGCGGCAGACTAAGCAAAAGGTCCAGCGCGCGGTTCCGAGCGAACTAGCCCGCCGACGCTGTGGAATTACTCTAGAGCTTCTCCGCTTCGCTCATGGGGAAACTTTACGAGTCATTCCGCGTCCATGATGCGCTACCCCTCCCTCGCGCACACGGACCGATTCCAGACTCGCCCTGGTGGTGGTTTGGTGATTTTGTGGAGTGATCCGCTGTGCTTGTCTGCTTGTGTGAGCCACTGTCCGTACTATTTCCTGCTATCTTGCATGTCTTTTCTGTGTGCGCGTCGTACTTCATGTCCTGCTTGCTCGGCCTTCCCTTCAGCATGTCCAGCGGGGTGATCTCCAGCTGCTCCATTCTGGCCTTCCAAAGGTCTCTGTGGATTCGCGCTGTAGTCGTCGCCGTCGTTGCTGCTGGTGGTAGGCCCTCGCGTGCGAGACGTCTGCCTGCGTTGGCGAGCTCCCGTTGCTGCGTAGTCCGTGCTGTCGTTCCCGTAGTTTGACCAGTGATGGCAGTACTGCATGCGTTCGGTTCCACCAATCCGTTCTGTGTGATGCGTACCTGTGTCGGTGGTCTCCTTTCTCCTTAAGCTGCTGCTCCTCGTAGTGGTGTGGCTTGCCTCGTCCGCAGAATGTGGCCCTGTCCGAGGGGGTCATCTTGTGCGCCATGCAGCAGAACTTCTCGAGTGCCCCGATGAAGTGGTGGTACCTGCGACGTCCCAGACACTCCGCTCCGATTGGGTCCGTGCGGTATGCTGTGTTCTTCTTGATGTAGTCGGGGTCGTGGCGCTGGGTCTCCTTCTTTCGAAGTGTCGCTGACCCTTTGTGAACGTCCAGCGAAGGACCTTGGCGACGTGTGCGCACATGGGCTCCAGGAGCACCCGTGTGGCCGTTCTGATTCGAATCCTTCCAGAGGCGGCCCGTCTTCAACGCTGCCCTGCAGTGCGGACTGTGCCAGTCCAACGTCTCCCCAGGGGTCGTAGATGTCGTCGGAAGGGTCGTGGCCAGCTTCATCCTTATGGTTGGGCGGGTGTGCTGCGGGGGTAGTGGTTGGGAAAGTCGCCCACCCTATCGGTCCCAATGCCTCCCAACGTAGGTTGTCGGTCTCGTTGGTCGTTGTGGCCGTTGGGTCCTCTGGTGGTGCTGGGTGTGTTGTTGGGTCGTCAAGTGCTCGTCTTTGGCGTTTTTCTTTCTTCTTGTTCATGACTCTTGCCTTTGGTTTCGGTCGAGGTGGGTGAGGGAATGGGCGTGGTAGTTGTAGTCGTCTGCTCTCTTTAGCTTCAGCTGCTGCACGTGTGCTTATGACCAGCCCTGCATGCGGCTTCCATGGTGTGTTGTGGATCGGTCTGGCTCCTCGTATCAGTCGCTGCCCGCCTTCGTTGGTCGGCGCGGGGTCGACGTTGGAGTGGGCCTCGCCGGGGTTGCATGTGTGCTGGTCGTCTGGGATGCCGATGACGCTGGTTGCCCCGAGCGCTGCTGGCCATCCTGTCTTTCCGAAGTCGTGATGCGTCATGTTGAAGTCGCCGCAGACTATCCGCGGCATGGAGAGGGAGTTAAGGAAGGAGGCCAGCGTCGTCAACTTGCGTGCGTTCACGCCTTGATGAGTGCTGCTCTTCGGGTCGAGGTAGATGGAGATGATTACCAGCGACGTTCCCTTCAGGTGCAGCGGGACTGGCGTCCAGTCGCACATGTCGATGTCCCCTGTCTCGGCGTGGCTGCACGTGTTGGAGGCGGTCGTTGGCTTGGCGCGATGCTTGAAGGATGTCACTGTCAGGTGCCCCTTGGTGATGACAGCTGTGCCACCTCGGGTGCCCGTTGTGCTCTTCTCGCTTTTCCGTACCGTGGTAAAGGTACTTGCGAAGCCCTCCTTCTGCAAGTCACGTTCCACGGTGTCGATCTTTGCCCAAGGGATGTGCGTCTCCTGCAGCGCGTAGACATCGTACCCTTCACGAAGTCCGCCACGTCGCATCCAGCTCATCACCTCGGGCCCCCACGTCGTGATGTTGGCGAAACAGATGGTGCGGTCCGGGGGCTCGGCGTCGCCGGCGGGTCGCTTGCCTCCCCCCCGCTGTGGTCCCTGGCGGTTGTCGGGGGGGGGGTGCCGCCTCGCCCTTCCCGACAGCCGCCGACCTGCGGCGCTCCAAGGACTCCTCGGCCTCGTTCTTGGGGATGTTCTCTTCGCCCTCCGCGTGGCTGCCCGCGGCTGCCGTAGCCTTCGGTGGTGATGATGGTGCCGCGATGCGGAGCCGCCTGTCGTATTCATCTCCTTCTGGGTTTTCACTGCTTGGTCAGCCTTCCTCTTCTTGGATGCCTGCGTGATGATCGCGCGACTCTCCTCAGCTTTCGTCTTGGCCTGCTGGAGGTGCTCTGCGAGTTGGCCTTTGAAGGTGCGTGTCGTCCTCTTGAGCTCCTCCAGGACCTGCTTCTTCGCATGGTCGACCGCCGCGCGGCCCTCTGCATCCATGTCTTCGTCATACTTGAAGTGCTCCTCCAGTTCCGAGAACTCTAGCTCGGGCGGGTGCACGATGTCCGTGTCGGCCTCCAGGGTGGCATCGAAGATGCTCTTGTTGTTCTTCTCCTTGCCCTCTGCCTGGATCTCCTCGATGAGCTGCTCCGCCTTCAAGACCTCGTCTGTCCTCAGGTTGAGCGTCTCGTTGGCTTTCTTTGCCTTGGCGTCCGCCTGCTTCTTTACCTCGAACGCCCAGTTGTACAGCTTGTTGTAGTGCTCCAGGGACTTCGCTGCCTCCGCCAGTCTCAATGCTCTAGACGTGGTCGGCTCCGACGGCGTAGCCTCCACAGCACGTTGAATCTCTGAGGTCGCGCCCTCGAGCTGCTTGACTAAACCGTCCTTGTCCGAGGTCGCGATCTGCATGGCGCCGAGCGTGTTGGTGACCGTCTTCAAAGCCCTCACCAGCTGTTCCATGTCCTGCTTCGGCCTTGTCGCCGTAGCTGCTGCCGTGCTGTGAGCTGCTGGCGCCGTAGCTGCTGCCGTACTGGGAGCCGCTGGCGCCGTAGCTGCTGCTGCTGCCGCTGTCGCCTCGATCAGAAGCTGGTGGCGCGTGGTGCTTCCAGCTCTTTGGGCGGGCAACGCGGCAGCCGCATTCGCGCCGGAAGTCGTTCTCGTGCAGCTGCTTGTGCCAGTGCCACTTCTGGCAGCGCTTGCAGCTGCTCCAATCGTCCTGCTTCGGCGCCATGCTGCCGTGGTGCTTGCCAAGCAACTGTCTCAGTCGCTCTGCTCGTAGTCGCCTGCGGGCCTCTCCTCGCTCTCGCCTGAGTCGCCTGTGCCAGGCGGGCGAGGGTGGCCTCTTCAGGCCACGGCGGCCCTCCGCGGGCCTGGGGTCTCCCGATGGCGTGGGCCCCGCGGCGCCGCCCGCGGGCAGAATGGCTGCGCGGGGGCGGGGGCGGGGCCGCGCTGGGGGGCCACCTAGGAGGAGGACCTGAGGAGGAGGAAGAGGAGGAGGGGAGGATGAGGATGAGGAAGAGGAGGAGAAGGAGGAGGAGGAGGAGGAGAAGGAGGAGGAGGAAGAAATGGATGAGGAGGCGGAGGAGGCGGAGGAGGAGGAGGGGGGGGAGGAGGTTCGTTTCGGAGTCCAACGTCAGAGCACTTATCCGGGAAGCGGTGCCCGCTTGGCGTGACATCGTTGTGAGCTCTGCGGGCAAATATTTGGGATTCTGGATTGGACCTGCTGCCGGCGACAAGAGTTGGGATAAGCCAGTCGAAACATTTATGAGCAGAGTGCAGTGTTGGGCCCCTCGGCCTTTTTATGCCGATGCTTGCGTTCAATACCTTCATATGTTCTGTGCTGTCCTTTGTCATGCAGTTGGAGGACGTCCCGGTCAATCTGGGGGGGCTCATCCAGTGGGCATTGCGACGCCTTGTCCCCGGCCCTGGCTTCTGGATTTTGCCCGAGGACCTATGCAGCTTGAAGGAAACATTTGGATTCAAGTACTCGTTCACAAATCTACAGTGCGTGGCTTTGGCGGTGAAGTTGCGCGTGATAGAGCAGGTGGCGCCAGACTGCCGCGAACGGTGCCAAGAATTAGAACAACTCGATGGCAGATACTTGACTGGACCGCTTGGCACGTGGCACGGTAACTCTTATTTCGCGCGCTTGGCCCGGGCTGAACACGTGGCTGCATGCTCCGGAGTGACTCGCCGCAAAATATGTGCGCTGGCAGATAGGGCAGCGCAGGGGCGAAGACCGAACTTTCAAGCAATAGCCATAAGGAGGCCCTCTTCCCAGTGCCCGAGCACCGTCTCCCGCGCAAGCTGCTCAGGTGGGGCTTTCTGCTGCCAGTCGACGTGCTGGCTGGCCGGTTTTCGCGGGCATTCCACATCGTGCACTCGTGGTGCCCGCCGAGGGTTGCGTCCGCATATTCGCGTACGATCTACAACGGATGGGTGACCGGCCGCGGGATGCGACATGTTGCGACTACGTCGGCAGGGGTGGTCTCGACCTCACGGTGCCTGCTGGGTTGCCAGGGTGGGCGCGACAGCGTGGAACATTATTCCGTTTGTCCAGTGGTCCGGGGTTTATTGCTGGCCTTGGACTGGACCAGCAACCCGCAAAGCTTATGTTTTTCTTCTGGACGAGAGCTGCCCTGACGAGGACGTCGCCAGACTGGCGCTGGCAATTTACGGAGTGTATCGCACCACGAACCACGTTCGCTTCCATGGGGCACTGGCTGCAAGTTCAACCCAGAAGCTCTTAAAGCGCTGGATCCAGCGAGGAGTTGAGAATTCTAAGGCGCGTGCACTGTTGAGAGGGGCCTCGTGACGGCGCGGGCGCAGTCTGGCAGTGCTGGGTTTTCCTTTCCTCCTCCTTCCCCTTCCCTCTTGTCCTCCTCTGCCCTGCCCGCCCTGGACACGATCGTTTGCGCAGTTGTCTCTGTTGCTCGCAGGGGGGTAACATCTCTCCTTCAGAGCAGAGCCGCAGACGGCGGACAAGAATCGTTTTTTTTGTTGGTATAGCGCGTCTGTGGCGTGCAAATGGTGATCGGTTGCCGACGCCGTTTGGCTCAAAAACTGTTTGCGTATCAGGAAGAAGAACACATGCATGCATGCATGCATGCATGCATGCATGTATATGTGCATGTTTGTATGTGTATGTATGTAGGTATGGATGTGTGTGCATGTGTATCTATTTGTATCTGTCGCAAAGCGTTGGGCATGCGGGTTTTGGGCCACTTGGTAGCCCCTTGGAGGCCTCTTGGGGCCTCTTGGGGACATCTTGGGCCTTTTGGGAGCTTCTTCGGGGCCTGAGTGGGCGTCTTGGAGGCGCCGTGGGCCGTGTTCGGGCGTTCTTAGCCCGTCGGGCGCCTTCGAAGGCCGACTTGAAACCCTCTTGGGGCCTTAACGAACTAGGCTCAGAGGGGAGGGGCTTGAGGATAAGCAACTATCTTCTACGCCGAGGACTCCGAGAGATTGGCGAATTGCCATGTTGGCTCAAGTGCGTATTTGCTTTTTGACCATGGCGCTGCCTCTTTGAACAGAGTTCGTTGCCGGGCAATGGTGAAACGCAATGCGGACTGGTCGGCGTTAGCACCGCAGGTCCCTACTAAGGACCTACTTGCGGAGGACCCATTTATGGCACTGCCTGTCCTGGGTCCCATGACGCCTTCGTCCGCGCCGAGCTGTAGCTCTGCGGACGAGCCTGTCCTGATCATCGTTGAGGAGTCGGTCGTGACCGCGGAACTGTCCGTCGAGGACCGATGGACACGGGCATCGCAGGGATAGGGAACGGCATCCTCCCTCAATCTTTCCCCTACGCCCCCCTCCTCCTCTTCCTCCTCCTCCTCCTCCTTCTCACCATCCTCCGCCTCCACCCTCCCCCCACTTGCTCCCTCCCCTGCTGCTGCGCACGCTCTGTGGCACTTCTTCCGGCAGCGTCCCCGCCACCCCCGACGGCGGCCCAGAAGCGAGGGAGTCGAGGAGGCGAGCAACCGCCCACCAGCGCCTCCACCGCCCCCAACCAGGGTCACACTCCGATGGTATCGAGGATTGCAAGCAGCACCCTCCTCCTCCAGGCTCCTCCCGTCCCCTCCCCCTCGCCCTCCTCCCCGCCCAGCCCCCCCGCCCCCCGAGTGGGCGCCCAGCAAACCTCGGCACCGCTGCGGCGCGTCTTGGCTGCCCCTGAGAGGACCGCACCCTCGATCCGCTGGAGAACAAGGCGGGTGCCGAGAGCGCCAGCGAAGTGCTCGCTCCCTCCGACCCTGCACGCTCCTCTGTGCTCGTATTCTCCCCCACCTCTTCCATCGGACTCCTCCCCCCCTCCTCGTCGGCCCTCCTCACTCCTCCGTGGTGCGCCCTCTGCCCCTTTTCCCAACAGCCCTCCTCCTCTCCGTCCTCCCTGACCCTCCTGAACTTCCCCTCTTCGCCTCTCTCCTCCCCCTGCCTCCCTCCTCCCTCCCTTCCTCCTGATTGCCTCTTCTTTCCTCCAACCCCCCGCCAACCCTTCTCCCTCCTTCGACCCTCCTCTCCCTCCCACTATATGCTCAGCCCTCGCCCTTGTTTCCCCCCCTCGCCCCTCTCCTTACTGCCCTTACTCCCCTCATCCTCCCTTGTTTTTGTCCCTCGCTATTCTACTCAATTCTGCGTCTCTCCCTCCCTTCAACACTCTTCGTCCTCCTCGTCGTCCTCCTTTCCCTCCCTGCCCCATTCCTGCCCCTCTCTGTAAAAGAAAGGTCATGGTGAGAGAGGGAGGTATGAGGATCGGGCGAGAGATGGAGGCGGGACATAATGGACGAGAGGAGTGAGAGAAGGAAAGATAGGTGATGCGAAGGAGCTGGGGTGACGGCCCGAAACGGCGCCAGTCAGGAGCGGGGAAGTGGATGAAGTATGCGGAGGATGAGGATGGCTGCAGTTCCCGCTGTCTTCTTCCCCCTCTTCGGGCCCGCACTGGGACCTGAAGATTATGGGGCTTGTGCCCTGCATGGGGGTGATGAACACCGCGCTGCATGGATGATCCTCCAGTTCCTCCTTCTCTTCCTCCTCCTTTTCTTTCTCCCTCCCCCTTCTCCTCCTCCTCCTCCTGTTCCTCTTCTCTCAACGTGATCCTCCCTCTTCTCCCCTCCTATGCCCTACTCCTCGCTCCGTCCTGTTTCTCATCCTGATCATCATCCCTCGTCAAGCCTCGACCTCCTCCTCTCCATTCTCCTCGCACCTCCTTATCCTTATCCGGGCCACCCTTCTCCTCCTCCATTCTCCTCCTCTTCGTCTTTGTCCTTCCTGCTGTCTGTCCCGGCGAGGAGAATTGCCCCAAGAAGATCAAGACCTGGCGAGGTGCCTCTCTGAAATCGTCTCCTTTACGAGGAGGGACCTCGCAGGCCACCAGGGGGGATGCGATGGGAGGAGCAGGAGAAGGAAAAAGCGGAGGCGGAGGAGGAGGGTGATGATGATGATACTGCTGTTGCTGCTGCTGATGACGACGATGACGACGATGACGATCACGACGACGATGCTGCTGCTGATGATGATGATGATGATGCTGCTGACGCTGATGATGCTGCTGATGATGATGCTGATGATGATAATGATGGTGATGATGATGATGCTGATGCTGCTGCTGATGATCATGATGATGATGATGCTGACGCTGATGCTGATGATGCTGATGATGCTGATGATGATCATGATGCTGATGCTGCTGATGATGATGGTGATGGTGGTGGTGATGATTCAGCTGATGATGCTGATGACGACGATTATGCTGCTGATGATGCTGATAATGGTGCTGCTGCTGATGATGATGATGATGCTGATGCTGCTGACGCTGATGATGCTGCTGCTGATGATGATGTTGATGATGCTGATGACGATGACGATGATGATGATGATGATGATGATGATGATGATGATGATGGTGATGATGATGATGATGATGATGATGCTGATGATGATGCCGATGATGATGATGCTGATGATGATGGTGGTGGT